GAGAATATAATGAGAAAGACGGGGAAATGATAGTAGGCAAATTTGCAAGATTCCTCAGAGGAGTTGTAATGATAGGTGTACACATTGCCTCTGTCACTAAATTAAAATTCATCTTCTTGATCTTTATACAAAACTGAGGAATCTCAAATAAAGATCAAAGTGTGGAGAAACATCCTGATGATGCCTTTTGTTAATGTGTTAATGAACTTGCTTGGTTAATGTCATAGAAAAAGTCATATAAACCTCCAGACAAAACCTTTTACCTGAACCTGTACACTTACCAATGATAATGCTTTTCAAAGACTGAAGCCTAAATTAAAATATGAAAAGAAGAGGTGGGTAGATAAGGGTTCTTGGTAGCTGTTCATCTGCTAAGTGGGACAAATTTTATTATCTTTATTAAAACTACTAATATATTTTGAAGCAAGTAAGGCTTTTGTGTCTTTTGTCCTTTCTTCTAATTTTGATTTTTTGTCTTTGTCTGCACAACTACTTTTCTGCTAACTTGAGAGCTACTCTATCCTATGCCATTCATCACAAGAACATCTCAGAGGGACTTGGAAACGTTTCAAGTTTTAACAATCAGAGACTTAACCTGTTTTTTCTCATGTAAGTTACCTGCCTAGACACACTAGGAAGACAAACATTGAATAACAGAAGTTGAATAATAATAGTAATGAGGAATTTTGCATGAGAAATAAAAACCTGGTAAAATCAGGTCTTTTGTTGTAGATTGCTGAGATTCTTTACCAGTGTAAGAAAAAGAGTGTCGACATTTGTCAGGCTATCCTCCATAAATTAGAGTTACTATACAGGGAAAGTGCAGCCTTAGCTGCCATAGCTATTGCTGCAACATTTGCTATTTTGTTGTGGGGTTTTTTCTCTGAGGTATAAGGGGATACTTGGGGGTAAGTTGGTAGTACTTAAAGTCTCTGTTTTCTTAGTTGGTCTTTTTGTTGTATTATCATTACAATTCTTTTTGTCTTGACCTAATCACATTTTCTGGCTTGCTTGTCAACTTAAAAGATAAATCAGAGGGGGAAAAAAATAAATGTTTTGATTGTGTTGTGTGTTGTTTGGAGTTTTGTTTAATGAATTTGTTGCTTTAGAATGGTATAAGGTTGACAGCCTAGGAAACTGAAGCATCAGTACATATTTTCTCAGACTATTTCGATAGCATGCTTTATCCCTGACCTGGAAAAGCCACCTCTGCATGTGAGAGGATAGTTCATTCTCTGTAGCTCATTCAGTCCTTGTCCTTTTTGCTAGGACTGCCATCAAGATTGCTAATTATAGTAATAGGCTTGTGATGTGGGTACTTTTCCTCTGAAAACTGGTCAAATTCATTTGATACAGGCCATAAAGCAGCCATTAGCGGGTACCAAGTTTCAGCCACCATCAGTTTGACCTGAACAGTGCAGTAGTGTTTTTCCCTCGCATCCTATTTCATTTTTTAATGTTCTCGTAGCCAAAAAAAGCTCCCAAACCATTTTCTTTCCATTGGGTTTCAGAGCCTTTTCTGCTGAAACTGAGTTGCCTATTTTTAATTGCAAGAAGCTAAGCCTGCATGAGTTAAATAAGCCAGGACAAAATAACGTCAAGAGTGGGCTTTTACAAAAAAAACATTGAAGATGTGGCTTGGACAGAAATGGAGAGTAAAGCACATTTTTCACATTTGCAAAATAATTTCTGTTCTTAGTACTGTAGTGTCTTCCCTCAAAAGAAAGACATAATGTTATAGCTTTAAAACTTCTTATTTTGCTGCAAGTGAAGTAGATTTAGAAAATGTGGTTTATGTCCATTAATTTAGCATCACTGGAAAGGGAACACGAGGAAAGTATTAACAAGGCTTACATTTTTTTTCATGTTGGCACTCAACATGATGCTGGTGATTTAAAAGACTGCTTGTGGTATGGTATTTTTACACTTATGTCTATTTTTTTTTAAAGGAAACTTCATAACGACTGAGATTTTCAGATTTCTGTTGCTAACACTTTTCTGAGTTTCCTAGCAGTGCTTTTCTTCAAATGGAAATGCAATCAGCCCGTACTTCATAGTGCCTTCGGTCTTTCTTTCAGGTCTGACCACTAGGGCCAAGAGTCGCATCTTCAATAATCCCTGAAAAAATCTCGTTCCTCGCCCCCTTACTACATATAGATACATGCATTTAGGTACACATACACACATCTTTACCTTTCTCAGAACTGTTTTGCAATGTCAGTGTTTGGGTTACAAAAATGCGTATGGCTAGTCGAGGGTATTTGTATATGTCCTGGCCCTGATTCACTGCTTTCATTAGCACTAGAATTCAATTCTGATTCAGAATAAAGCTGATTCTGACATCAGTGTTAATGATGTAATAACGCTGACTCTGAGCAGAATTGTTTCTGATTCCATGATATGTGGGGGCATGTCTGCTTTCCAGGTGCAGGTGCAGGTGTTTGATTGCGGCTCATGCAAATTCATGGCAGCATTAAATGGGGAACAGTGTAGATATGGTAGCCCGGAGTTAGCTACCTGAACAGTTTTGGAGGTTGCAGCTGGTATTGAGCTTCACGTACCCTCGCTGTGCTTCACTTGCTAGTCCTACTTGCACTTGTCCAAAGATAACATGGATAACTATATACAGCTTGTAGTTGTGTCTCCCACCAACGTGCGTACACCCTGAGTGAGATCAGAATGAGTCCTCTTGGCATTTATTTTACAGAAATTATCCTTAATTTACATGGTCGTTTCCCCGGGGGACTAAAGATTTTCCTGTACCTTCTGAAAATCTATGGCAAAGTTGATTTTGAAAATCTTGTGTGTAAATTTATCATTGGCCTTTGCATAATTGTCATGTCTTCAGGAATGCAACTGTACTGGAGCTGGAGACCAAGAGCAGCCCTGGCGACAGATCAGGAAAATGGAGGATGACAGGCTTATGGCTGGATGTGGGGACCGTAGCACACACGTGTCCTCCCAACACCACACGTGCCAGTCACATTGCACCACTGCTCAAGTTCCTGGCAACTCATCAATTCTGTATTTTAGTCAGAGTTATGGTTTCCGAGCTTTTACCTACTCGCACAAACTCCTTTGAGCCTACAATAGGTGTCACAGAAAATGCTGTATTTTGGATGCTCAGTGGGAACCTTGACAGTAACATGAGAGAGGTTTGTTTTTTTTTCAGGAGGAGGCACCTGTGCTGCCTTCCGAACTGCATGTGTGAAGTATAGTAAATATATGGGTTAAAAAAATCATAATTCAAATCCCTATAGTGGTACTGATCAGATCTCTGTTTCTGTAGCAATGAGAACCAAAGGTGGCCTTTTAAGGCTCACAGTTCATCTACCAATTTCCAGTTCTGCTTCAGGATTCTTAAAGTATTAGAGTGCGTGCTTTAAACCCACAAAACTTACCTTTACCTAATTTTCACTATTCTAACCTAAGTTTCCACGGAAACAGGGTTGAAAAAGCCGCTGGTAGCCAGCAGGCAGCCAGCAGCTGAGAGTGAGAACTCTCCTTTGTCACTTTCCACTACTGGATGCCTGCTGCGTGCCAGTGTGCAAAGCTACCTAGGCTTCTAAAATCTGGAATACTTTCAATTTGAGGGGGAAAAATTAAATTAATCTACTCTTTTCTCTCTTTGGATTGTCACAGTAAATTCCAGGAGGGCAAATGGGCTAATGAGTCCTGCTCTGTTCGGTTACACTGAGCCCCACATAATCAAAGCTTTCCCAACCAAGTGGGCCTCTCCTTTCATAATTTCCATGTTTAAAAAGCGTTCTCTCTCAAATTTTGTGTCTGTGCACATGCATATGCATATAGTGGTATCTTATTTCTTTGTGGCTGTATATCTATCTGTCTCTGTGTTTACGAGCCTTTTTTGCATATTGTATAGTCGATGTATAAAATTTCCTTTTTTCTTGTATACTTAGGGAACATTTCTGAATGAACGCATTATAACTGATCCTCAGTTAAATATTGGAAGTAGGATGTGAATGGAGATGGCTTTTAACCAGAAGTAGATTATAGCTGCGGGAAGACTAAAGGGTCTATTTGGTCAAGACTCATACAAAACTGAGATAAGCATGCACAACCTGACAAGATCAGATTAGACCCTTCCCCCCACAAGTGCTTTTCCCATAAATATTTATCTACTTTCTATTATAAATAACCAGGAAATGAAAAAGAAGGATAGATTCTTTTTTTAAAAAATAGACTAGAAATAGAAATGCATCTTCAAATTTTCGGGGCAATGGTATTTTAAGTATGCAGTAAATTCCAGTACTAGCTGCTGTTTTTAAATGGGAGTAAAGTACTGAAATTCTTCGTGGCAGCTACATAAATGGGCAGCATTTATAAACAAAGAACTTCGCACATATGTGCCTTTTTGCCTACTGTTGGGTACCTTAGAATTAAATAACTTACCACCTATGAGAGAATAGGTGTTGACAGAGTCAGCACTGCTGTATTTTTTAAGCTTGCCTGAGGCAACATAGCTGGCATTGAAGTTAAGCTTGGCATTCTTTCACCCCGTCCCTCCTCCCTCCAGCCCAAGTGAATGCTCACTTCATCAATGAGAAACACAACTGACTTGCCTGCCAGATGTAAGGGAGATCCATGAATTCACATCTATTCTGCAAATTTGTGTTTCACTCAGATCGTCGGTACTTTGACTTCACTTCCTAACACAGAGGGGTTAAGGGGTAAAAATCTGAAGCCATACATGTGCCACTAATTCAGAAGTGCGTATTTGCTGGTGATCCACTCATCAGAGCCTGTGTGGATTGACTTTCTGTTATAATAAAAAATAGCTCTTTAACTTTGAGATTTAAAACCTTAAAAATGTACAGAATAATATATTTTTACATGCATCTTTGAACGTAATGAGTGTATAGTTTTTAAAACACTTCTGTGTCACATATGAATAATATTAATACTTTAAAAATCTCAAGATGAAAAATGTGCGTCCTTTTTTCTTTTCTTTTCTTTTTTTAAATCTTTTTTTCCTCTAGCATTTTACGATGGGATAATGAGACAGATGTCTCTCAACTGGAAGGACATTTTGACATTGTTATGTGTGCTGACTGGTAAGTACATAAAAATCATAAAACTCATGTTAGAAAAATAGCTTTGCTGGAGTAATTGTACTGTGCTGCTTGCTGATGGCTAAGCAAAGTCAACAAATGAAGCACAAAGCCACCTTAACCTCAACAAATTAATATTCATCTCCATGTGACAGTTATAAGGTAGTCTTCTATCACACAGTAACTTCTACCACATTATTTCCCAAAGATTGATTTTGAGAAGCATTTCCATTTTCTGGAATTGCCTCTGTTTCATGCTTGACGTATCAGTAAATGGACGACTTAGGCAAATTGCAAATAATTATGGCTCAGTGAGGAACAGTCTGGAGAAAAGGGAGTTTATCAACACAAACAGCTCAATTAGCTTACTTCTTAGGAAAGATCTGACTATTGATATAAAGGGATATATTTTTTGCTCCCTGGAAAATCTTTCTGAGGAAAAAAAGATTTTCAAAACCTTTCCCCCCCACCCATCACATTCTGTTTCTTAAATCAATTTGACAGCAATATTTGTAGACATAGGCTTCATATTATTTACACAGGCATGTGTTAATTGTAAGAGAATTCTTGGGAAAAAAAATGAGAGCATAGCACTTAATTTATGAAAATGTAGATACATGTATATTGTTTAATAATTTATGCAAATAGATTTGATTATTGACAAAACCCTTTTCTGATACTGGATTTGCAGAATTGTGCTGTGCTATATTTGCTGCATGCTAACTTTAAAAATGGTACATTATGAATAATTTCTGTTATATAAATGGAGACAATGTAAAAAGAGATGTGCAAATTTCATTTAGGAGAGTAGACATTTTTAAATGAACCTGTCTTTACTCCATTAATATTTGCTCTTGACCCTTTAAATGTCCAAAACAGAAATTGTTATTTATGTTTCGTTGCACATAACTATTGTGAGAGACCAGATTCTGAAAACAGGGACTTTCTAGGACAGTTCAGTTCAGCAGATTTCTGTACCTTACTCAGAACTAGTTAAAGGAAAAAGGCAAAGGAAAGTACGAAGCTGTCTATTGTCTTTTTAAACAATCTTCTTTATAAGTGGCTTCAGATAAAATATTCCTCTAAAGCTTTTTTTTCTTTTTTTTTTTCCTTTGATATTTTGTTATTTAAGCAAACTCTTCTTATTTCAGAAAAGTTACTGGTTTTGTGTAGTGCTGGAGAAAGTGTGTTTAGTCATCTTTTTTCCTTTTCCTAATGCCTATTTGTTGACAGAATGCAACAGTGCTTCATTTCTCTTAGCATTTAATTTCAGAAAAGTTCTTTGTTCCCAAAAAGGACAGAGAAGGGTTTCTAACTAATCGCTGATAATGTGCCTCAGAGATGCATCATCTGATTAAAATAAGGAGCTAAACAACACCATATGATTTCAGCAAGTAATTTAGTAAATGCCTTCCTCACCAAATATTAGAATGGATACTCCAGGTTTCATTGCACAGATGAAGTTAATGCTGGACAGGATTAGATCAGATTAAGTATGAAAGTCAGATCAGAGTGCTGGCGGACATGAGCGGGAGGGCAGCAGTCTTCTCGGAGGCTTAGACAAGGCTCACATATGGATGTTCTCCAGATTATGTGGGTGAAGCAAGGTCTTGCCAAGAGATTTAGAGTTAAATTTGTTCTTCACACAAATATCAAAACAACCTGGCTGTGCCATCTCTTGTATTCTTGATACTCACACCATGTCATCCTATTTGTGCTGGGAGTACAGCAGAGTGGAGCAAGACTTAAGTTGGTTTTTTTGGTAATATTCTTGCCTAATACTCTTCCCAGTCTGTTTGGAAATAGTGTAGTTTCTTTAGGAAACAAAGAATCAAACATGACAGGTAAATACATAATGCATTTGAAATCCCTGCATTTTGTACATTTATTTTGAAGCACTTAAGATGCAGGTAAGTGTATAAATATTTATAGATTTCTAAAAAATAAATAGAAATGTGCAGGTTAGTTTAAAGTACCTGTTTTTATTCACAAATTGTCTCTATTTTCTTATTGCAAGTGCCCATATATATAGTTTAATAAGCATGAAAATCCTTTTATTCTTTGTTTCTTTTAGAAATCATTCTTTTAGTTATGGACACTAGGTTTTCTGGTACATGAAAAGGCTGGGGAAAAAAATGTTCCATGTTTTATCAAATTTGAATCTTCTTTTCATTTTCATGTATTCCTCTTCCGAGATATAGAATTGACTTGAGAACTGTTGGCAGGATTTTTGCTCTCAGTATGAATTTTTGGGGCTGCCATTGAAGAGGAAAAAAAAAAAAATCTCTTTTCTTATAGCTCCTCGGCTGAAACCTGAAGTATGCAGTGATAAAAAGAGATAGAATAGATTGCATTTAGTTTAACACCATCATATAGCTCATTGTCAGTCAATAAAATCTGGGATTAGAACAGAGAACTAGAAAGCAAAAAATCTGAGTTCAAATATTAGGTACATGGATAAAATTTTATTGAAGTATTTCCAGCAAGGGTGATATTGTCTGATTCTCTGAATAGCTAACCAGTGGTACTGCTTGATCCCATTTACATGAAAACAAGCTCTATTCATAAACATATTCCAAATCCACATGGAGGTTCAAGTAAAAATGTACATGATTACAACAAGCAGCGATATGTTTATATTCATATATTTACAGTTAGACTTTCATAAACCTTGTGTGCAGAGGTGGAAAATAAGTTATTTCCCAGAACAGACAGTCTATTAGTTAACAGCTAAATTTAGTAGTTCAACTAGATTATAAAATAAATAAGAGGCAAACTGTGAAAGCTAGTCATTATTTAACCATTCAGGATTTTGACAATAAAAATAATTTCATGGTTCAGCAAAATAACTTGTAAAATGTCAACTATGAGGTAAAAATAAGGAAAAAAAAAATCTTGGTGAGGCCACACGTGGGACAAAGGTACACTGGAGAAACTACTGAAATAATGGAATTTTTAAAGCCTATCCACCCACCTCATATTTTTGAGAGGGAATTTTCAGGCCAGGTGAGGGCTGCCAGAATTTTAGACTTTCATTTGACCTACCCTTGTGGATATAAATTCATACAGGTGCTGGATTTGTGAGTATGAATAGAGGAGGAGAAATAACAGGCCTGTATGGACAGGCCAAAACCAAGACTCTTCCAAAGCTCTTGAGAGCCTCAGATCTCTGATTATTTAAAAGGAAGCGTGTATCTTTTTCTTTATTGACAAAAAGGTTGCTGAGATTTTTAGTCGAAGGAGAGAGTCAAGGCCAGTAGGACTGAGCCAACAGAAGAATCTTTGTCTTTCCCATTCTTGTGAAACCAGTTTTCACAAATAATTTTAATGCAGAGACAGTATAAGTTCTAGATCCCCATATCACTTTGGAAATGCATAATATCCCACTTTACTTACTTTGCCTTATTATATGAGCCAGGGGAGGAGGGGGGGAGGGGGCAGCTATCCCATATTACTTTCACGGCTGAGATTTTTGCTGAAGTCATGGGGAGTTGTGGATTCACCAGAAACATAGAACTGAACTGAAAGTATTCTTTATGTCAGCCATGTAGTTGAAGGTGAACAAAAAGATAAATGGCTCTATACACTAGGCACTGTACATGAATATAATCATGTCTGAAGTACACATATAAATTAAGCTCTTTTACCAATTGCAAAGTATGCAAAAAGAAAAATACTTTCACATCATAGCATATAAAATGTAAATATATGCCCCTTGTTGCGAGGCACAACTTAAAAGGATATCAGCATGAAGCAAACTGAGAATCTACTTGTTTTTTTAATTTGCTTCCTTATAGCTTACTGTCACTTCTCTGCAGTTTTGGTATAAGCTTCCATTTTGGTTTTAATGGTAATTTAAAATTAAAAAAAAAAAAAAATACAAGAAAAGAGAGGTGGTAAGATTGCCTGCCTGTTCATCCAGATTTCACAGGTTAAGAGCACTGCCTAAACAAAGGCCGAATCATAACCTGTGGTTTTGCCTCTTCAGTGCTGTGATCTGAAACTTCCTTGCTGACCCGAGAAACCCTTGCTATTCCTGTCCTAAGCTGCTGCTTTCACAGCATCCTTACTACATAAACATGAGACATTACCACTAAAGTAATGGCAAACCAAGCCAAATTTGAATTGAGATATGAGAACTGAGTAAGAATGGTTTAGAACAATACATTATTGAATTTTACTGAGCTGTTGTGAGCTTTAAAGGATTCTCTCTGGTACATTTTCAGTATGCTGCGGTAATGTTTAGTCATACAAATTCTACTGGTAAGAGAAATTGTGTGACTAAATCTCCTTGCATGGGCCAAATCCTGTGCTGGCCCTGTCTGCAGCACAGATTATCTAACAACTTCTTCGGGATTTTCCCCATTCAAGGCGTCCTCCGACTCAGAGGGAGGATAGAGATGTTCCCTGGAGTCACTGCATTGCACTAGCATTGCTTCCAGGCTTCTCTACTCTCTCTGGTCAGAGTATGTGGCTCACAGAGCAATAGACTGGAGACGGCAATACTGGAGACTATTTTCAATTGACGTAGGTCCTGTTCACAGAGACAGGCCTTTGGGAGGGCAGGGATGACTGGGGAGCAGAGACAGGGCAACTGTCCCAGGTTATCTGGGTTTCCTACGCTAAGGGGGCTAAGATTTTACCTCCCATATCACCAAAATATCAAGTGGGAGTTGGACAGAAAAGGTATTATTGAAGTTGTTTAGTCTCTTGGCAGGTCATGTTAACGTTTTAAGTTCTCAGACACTCAGTTTCTGATGAACAAAGGCCTGTGGTTCTCTCATTGTAAAGGAACAAGATTGGTAGCAGCAATTGTGCCCCTATCTCACTGTAAAAAAGAGAGAATGCTATGCAGGTTCATGAAAAAAGAATTTTAGCACCGGTAAGCTGCCTCAAAATTGTGTTTCCACTACACTGCTTTCAAAAATAAAAATATATAAGTGCATTTTTCATTTGGAATGTACTTTTCTCTACACAGGATCTCAGCAAGTCTTAAATGTGTGCATGCTTGCAATGTTTCATGTTGAAGAAAATGAATTATTTTTAGTGGTTCTTTTGGGAGAGGACTCATGCACTGTATTCCACCTCTTCTGCAGGTGGCTAAGTTCCCAGTGAAGTAGTGTCTTATGGTATCTATCTGCATAGGGATCTACCTGAGGTGAATGTGATTAAAACTCCCAGGAGACATTAGAGATATCAGCTGCTGTTTGAATGAATTAAATTTAAACAAGCATTTTTTTCAGTAAGGTTCTTCCAGTAAGACTAATCAAGGCTGAGAGGCAGCCATCACACCAATTGCTAAAGTTTAAATTTTCTTGTGGGCAGACTATCAGAGAAGTTGTTAGCTAGCACTTCAGTATCTTAAGAAGAAATTCAAAAGGTCAGATTTCTATATGAAATGTTCTTTAAGAAATGTATGGATGCCCAGTCTACCATATTTTCTCAACAGTGTGAGCTTCTGCCAATTTTTACTGATGAAATTTGGTCACTGACAAGTTTTCTGGTAGGCTTCCCCCCCACCCCACCCCACCCCGAGTAGCAAAAATTCACAGCTCTTACACAGCTGCTTGACCCTATGATACGTAAAGCTGTGTTCTCCTTGGTAGCTGTGGAGTGTCCTTACCTAAATATCCACACATATTCTGTTCTTGATGGCTGACATGTGGTTGGCAGATCTTTTTTTTCCCTTCAGTGTTTCATATATTCTTTATATTATTTCAGAAATTTCAAACCTGAGAAAAAATTACCCACATCTCTTCAGAAAGAAATGTTTGATAATAAAGGAAAGGCAAGTATAGAGAAGAATCATCAAGAGTGGACAAAATGCCATGTAGTGTGGAATGTGAGCTTGACACAGGCTGGGAAGCAGTTTTATTACAGAGAAAGCATGAAAAATAATGAAGAAAGAATCACATTATTTGTGGCCTGCTTGATAGAGTTTCCTACCTGAATCACCAATATAAATGCAGCCCGTGGTAGTAAGGACTGAAAGGCATCAGTTGCTATCCGATGGTTGTTCACTAACCATTGCAAATGCACTCTCATCCACAGTAACTACATGTCCACAAATATCTAGTCAAGAGTGATTGGCACCCTGGCTGCCACTATTAGTATATACATTAAGGTACTGAGGGGCATGAAGAATGAATTATCCCCTCAAATCATGAGGTAATCACGCCAAAAGAGGGCTGAGCATGTTGGCAACATTGCATGGGAAAATTGACTCTGCTGCTATCCTTGCGGGACCCATGCTGGAGATGAAGGATTTCACTCTTGAGAGAGACAACTCTGTACGATCTGGGTCATTGTGTTTGAACAGTGTTTGAGGGAGAGGGGAGGTGGGGGCTCGTAAATCTTTATAGGGATAGATAGAGATAGATATATAAATAGAAAAAAAAAACATGTGGAATAGATAATAATGAATTAATGCCACAACTGTGAAGGTAAAAGGGAGAAAAATACCCTTAACTGAAACTGAAATACAATGGAAAATACTCTAAAATACTGCCCCCCTCCTTGTATAAAAAGACATGTAAAATGTTAACTTTGTATATTGATCCTAATTTCTGATGTGGTAGTATTTTAATAGCTAGCATATGCGATCTGTGAATTTCAGCTGTATAAAGATCTGTTTGATGGTAATATTTTAGCTTTGGTTTAGTTTATATTTGGTTTTATGCATTTTTTAAAATTTAAAAGTACCTGAACTGGATGGAAACGTAGACCGCAGTTTCTCTTTTACAGCATTGTGTAAACATATGTAATTAGCCTTGTACTTATCTGCATTAGTATCATTAGAATTGAAAACCCATTTTAATCTGGATTCTGTTCTCTTCTCAATGTCAGCCTGTTTCTGGACCGGTACAGAGCTAGCCTTGTTGATGCAATAAAGAGATTACTCCAGCCCAGTGTAAGTATGTTTCTATTTTCTCCTGAACACTGGATTCAGAATAATTAGTCTGTGCACAATGATTGAGAGAGTAATGGAATGGCAGGATTAATGTCATGTAATACTTTAATACTTATTATGTCCAACTTCAATTGAGTCTTCTAATCTATCAGATTCTTTCCTAATCATAAACTAGGAAACTTCTTATACTTGGCCTTCTGATAAGGAGCACAGTGGGTAGTAAAATAAATGAAACCGCTTCAAAGATAGCATGAGATTATTTTTATCAAAGCGTTTCTCAAGTATTTTCCTTTGATAATAATGTCTTCATATTAAAGTAAAAGTACGATATTGAAAGTTTTTATGTTGGCTTCTGTCATTTGTAATCCCTTCAACTGTAACCTTTGTCATTGTGTTTTTATTTATTATGAAAGAATATTTTTTCTTTTCATTTCTGTTTATATAAAATGAACAAAACCCTTATGCATGTATTGTAGCCTAAAACTTTTTTTCCATTGAGTAAGCCCTGTGTTTACATGTTTTATACCTTAGAAAAATTAAGTTAAGTTCTTCATAAAATGCTTACATATTCTACATGATTAGAGGAAATATTTTACCAAACTCCATCTATTAGGCTGTTAAATCAGAGAGATCTACAGGCAAAAAAACCACCCTGTTATGTGCATATACTTCTACCCAACAAAAAATCTTGACTCTAAAAAAATATTTTAAAAGAAGATATCAAAATGAGAATATGAGAAAACACGTGAAGTAATTGCTATAAGTAGGAATTTGAAACAGGAATTTTATCTTTCATGCTTAACATACAAATCTTCCAGTAAGGTAAAGTTTCCATGTCAAAACAAAAGTATTTCATGTTAGCAATGCATTCGCCAAACTTTATTTAGAAATTGTATTGTACTTTTTGTACAAGAGATTTTCTCTATAAAAGGAATATAAGACCCAAACGTGCAAAGGCTTAACGAACCGAGTCGTTTTAGTCATGTAAGTAATCCCATTCTTTGCTTAGAGTGATCAGGTTTCTATTCTTGGTTCTATCATAGACTTTCCTGAGTGACCTAAGGCAAGTTACTTAAGACCGAATTATTTTAATGAGCTGTGGGGCAAGGCCGCCAGGAAGACAGGAGCAACATAGCCACCCTGAGGAAAAGGTTACCCTGATATTTCTGTCAGAGGCAGCAAGGGGAGGTTAAGCAGCTCCTGCCCAGAGTGATGCATTCTGATTTTCATGATGTACCATCTGTTGTCAGGGTGCAATAATTTTGGGGACCAGAGGCGATCTGGAAGACAAAGCTGATGCCAGTTTAAAAAAATGCAAAAAGTACTTTTTTCAGCCCAGGTCAATGTCGAGACCTGGTTCTTCGGGTAGCCCCATAGGCCACTGTACTGGCTCCGTGAAAGGACAGTTGGGGAGAAGAGTATTAGTGGCAGGAAGAGAAGTCTCTAAGAGGTGCCCTGGTACCTGTGACCTGGCTAGAGCCTCTAGCTGGAGTGGAAGAATAGCTGTTAGTTGTTTTGCCTCCTGCTCAGAGCTAATCATGGTCTGGTGGTCTCTGTTGCCAAAAACGTGACTACAGACATACATCTGTACATGCACACACACGCGTGCGCATGCATCTTTACTGGCTGATGAGCCCAACCAGAGAATTTTATTTAAAAAACGATGATAAGGCAGCCTGAATTTTAAGAAATGTTCATAGCTCAAGTTCCCATCTATAGACAATATAGGAATTGTTAACCTGACTTGAAACCAAAACTGGACTGACTTTGTTGCTTTCTAACTCCAGTCAGCTAATTCAAATTCAGAACATGCCTTTGTTTTTCGGAGCAGATGAACTACAGTCCTTTGTGAATGTAGATGGAATAAAGGGAGATGGCTTTTTGTTTCCTGTATTCCTAGTCTGTCTTGCTTCTGCATGTTCGGATTAACAGCGTAGCCTGTACTTATTTCCTCTGCATTTTAGGCCATGGTTCCTACATCTTATCAGCAAAGATACCTTAAGAAATTCTTGCTCCTTGCAGGAATTTCTGTTGCCGAGTTTTGGACCACCGGCTGAATTGTGTTTTTTAACGAAAGTCATTTGCCTACTCCACTTTATGGATGGTCGTATGGATGGATATACAGTTATGGCATGGCCTTGCAACTTATTGTAATTCATAACTAAGAGGACAGCGAACGATTGTGCGGGGTGGAAGCTGGGAGTACAGACAACTTAAATGAGCTCTCTTGTCCAAAAGGAGCATGTTGAACAGAGATCCTTTCAAGCATATGCTTTCATGGTTTGAAAGGCCCAAATAAAAGCATATAGTCATTTGAGATCCCAAGAGAAAATGCGATCACAAGTACATAATAGTTATTACTTTAGTGTTCTTGTGAACCTGTATAAATCTAAGGATAACATCAGAGGAAACTTTACTAAGTGGCACTATACTTTGGCCTTTGAAGGAAAAATAAATTAATAGTGAACTCATTTGCCGGTTGCAATAATTAAGAATAGTTTATGGGCATTAGTTTATGCCCAAGCTAAGGCATAAACTACTTTGATTAAGTTCACTTTTCTACATGAATTATTTTGTCACAAATCTAGAAGCTACATTTCCTTATTGGTAATACTTTGCCAAATTGATAGAGGAACAATCTCAAATTGAAGACACATCTAGATGTAAAAAATCTTTCATGTGCAACTAAGATACAAGTAGGGTAGAAAAATTCAGGGAAAATAATAGCTAGCAAAACCAAAAAGAAAAATTGAGTAAACAGAAAATAATGGATATCCTTACAAAGCTGTCTTGAGGGAGAAATTCAGAACAGGTAATCTATTCTTACTGTTAGTTTAAAAATAAATAAATTTATCTGCAGTACTTCCTTTTTCATTAAGGATGTTATTTGTGGCTATTAGTATCCTTACAGCACAGAATTATGTGTTTTGGGTAACTCTTTGTTTTCCTGGGAACAGGACTCTGGTCATTTCAGTCATCTGAGTCACACCGTGGACAGTTGTATTGGCTCAGGAAGAGAGGACCGGAAATTCACACAGGCAGAAATGAGCAGCTCACAAGTTTACTGGGGGCTGAAATTTCTTATCCGAATCTGTTACAAAGGCAAATGTCACCTGTAAACCAATTCCAAGAATTAGGCACTCAAATTTTACATCAAACACGTTTATCTTGAATGGCTATATTTTATTCCTCTTATAAGCAAGCTACTTGATTTGCTAACATTTGGGTTTGTTTTTTCCTATCATTAAAGTGTGTTTTTAATTTCAATCTTAGAATAAGCAATTTCTTGTTTGCATATTTCCCTGATTAAGAACATTTTTTATGAAGGCCTTGATTCTTCTGTGGCCTATCCATTCAAAATCCCAATGAAGTCAATCAGATGCTATCGAACTGTGATTCGTACCAGCAAATAAGACTGCATTTAAGAATGACTGATGAGTAAACTTAGTCTTAGTCCTGTCCAAAATGTGAACATCTGTCTCATTATCTATTGCAGCATTTTGGTGACACTTCAAAATATTGTAACTGAAATAGACACTTTCCTCTGTTTTCTTCACAAGTTTACTGGAAGTATTTTCCCAGCTGACGGAAGGCCATTCTGAACTTTAAACATCATCCTAAACTGGGAGGCACTGTTGAATTACAAACTTCAAGTTAAACAACCTTAGGTTAGTCCATCAAGTGTAAATCCAGCCCACTGGTCTAATTTTGTTATTGTAGAGCAACCAATAAATAAAAAACATTTCAAAATTAAAAATGTGAATGCAACCCTACAACAGGGAGCAGAATCACAGAGATCAGGCAGTTGACAAGAAAGTGCTTCAAACCCAGATTACGATAGACCAGAACTGATGACAGTACCTCCACAAAACCTCCTCCAGTTTTAAGGAGATTATTGTAGTGATAAAATTAATCACGAGTATTTTTTTTTATCAGCAAGAGCAAGATCCTAAGGTGTTTTAGATGCACACTAAATTCAGAAGAGGAATGGGTTTTTACACCAACTAAGGAGCAAGGCAAACATAGCTGTGTAGTGATTTCCATAAAAGGCCATTGCCCTCTTTTGACATCATTTCAAGATTTTTGTTCTGTTTTTAAGAGATATTTCATACCATGTTGCGTTCTTTTTTACTGTATTTCTCTTTCAAATTAAGTTTGAAGTAATTAGTCTACAGGGAGCATGAGAAGGAATGACCGCATGGACTGCTGACTCCAAAAGGAAATCTGTAAGGGGGGTGCTGCTGTATGAGCCTTGGTTCCTCATTGAGGCTGCAGGATCCGTGGCCAGTGTGGGGCTTGGGGCCCCCAGCAGCCTCTGTTCATGAGATTTAGCCAGTCCTGAAGTCCCCATGTGAATCATGTGGTCAGTAAGCCCTGGGTGGGGGACATGTTTCCCGTTACAGTGACCTCTCTGAAGCTGCTCATGAAGATGAGGGACTCCAGAGAAGTCTCATCCTTCTTATGCCAGGAAGGGTCTCTGCAGAAGAATGTTCTGGGGAGCGTGAGATGGCAGCAAGAGGAGGAGGATCCTCAGCTGAAGGCTCCCTTTGCTGCCCACCTCTGTCTGATGACATTAAAGCATGCCAAGGATGTGAGGGAAGTTACAGCACATTTCGCATTGATTGTGATTTCCTGTGTTTAATGTTTTTCATCCTGAGCTGAGCCTATATTCAGACCTAACATTTACATAAGCAATTCCAGTGCCTTCGGTGGGAGTTACACCCATTTGCACCTCATATTTAGCCACAGAATTAAAGTTATAGCTACACAAATGAGCAGAAGTGAGTTGCTTTGGATATTGCCCTAGATCTCCTTTGTACTTAAATTTCCCATGAGAAAGATGAGGATAACAGTATTTCCCTATCTCACAGAGGCATTGTGAGAATAAATACAGTGCTGTGGTATTAATGATTGGAATCTTTTAAGTACACATTAGTACCACAGATACTGACATGGAGTTTTTATTGCTGCCTCACTGCATGTTGTCTCAGCTTATATGTGCATGAGCCGTAACGCACAGATTTGTTCCCTATCCTCCTCCCTACGTATCTGTGTCAGCACTGTAACTTTGCAGAGTCACCATTGAAATTGAAATTCTCACTTTTTTCCTCTGGTATCCAAGAATGCATTTTCTCAAGCCAAATATTCTTCTACAGCATCTAAGCATTTTATAACTTCTTCAGATCCCTAAATTTTTTTTTTTGTCTCTTCAGTTGATTCCAGCACCTCACAATTTAGTCTTAGCTCTCCTTAATATAGAAGTTAAATACAAGAACTCACAGTAAACTTTGTGGCTCCCCTCAGTGTGATATGCTGTTGGCTGATATTAACCTTTGTTTACAGCTCTTCAACCAGTTTTCATTCCATGTGACAGAACACAGTATTCAGCCAATTAGAATTAATTTTGCACATAAGATATCAAGAGACTCTATATCAAGTAGGTTAGGTTTTGGGCTAGTACTTTGCACAGAGTGTCTAAAATCTATGAGTTCAAGGTGCAGTCATTTTTGTTTTCTTAAATGCAGAAGGATGAACAAAAAATTAGCTAACGGACCATAATGTATTGCCTGGGCATCATAAATGGCCTGATCGTCTTGAAAGATCCGGAATTACTATGCAAGAACATTAAGTCCCGCTTTAAATGCAATTTACCAATTTAAGGTCAAATTTGGTTGCACTGCTCAGGTAGTTTAAAATAGCTTTGAAAAAATTAATGATCAGGTCTGATTTGCCTCCCCTTTTGCCTTGTTTTACACAGCTGTAATTCCACTGACAGCACGTGGGAGTCACTCTTCTATGTGTGAGAGTGAAAAAAGAAAATCATTGTTTACAGTCTGTGCATGGTCTTAAGCTAACAAATGGATTTTGCATTGAGTGTATGTTTTGTATGCTTTTTCTGTTTTATTTTGGTAATTCATAGCCACCATTATGATATGAAAAGGAGCAGATGTATGGCAGTTGGCAGTTTTCTAAAGAAAGTATTTATTTATTATTTTCTATTTTGCATTTGTTTAATCACAGAAATCTTGCATATTTTGAACAATTATTTATATTACCCTATTTTAGTATTTTACCAAGAGAACAATTGACTTTTCCAGCTTGAGTATATTAAAAGCTTAGTCAGGTGTATGTTATATCTGGTTCCCTTCCAGTTTTAAAAATGTATAAATTCTCTTTTTAATGTTCCAGGGAAAAGCAATGGTATTTGCTCCACTCCGAGGGAATACTTTAAACCAGTTTTGCAATCTAGCTGAAAAAGCTGGTTTCTCTATCCAAAGACATGAAAATTATGATGAACACATTTCGAACTTCCACTCCAAGGTTAGTTTTCTGCTTGTGTTAGATAACACTTTAATCCGCATTGCATTTTGAAGAGATCATGGTCCTTTTGGCAGGTAACCTAAATGTTTGATTAAAGTACTCCTTAGGTGTGCTGTTTCTGAACAGCTATTTTTGTATCTGATTATTTTGTGTGGTAGAACCATCCTTTATCTCTGCACGTCTAGAAGAGTTTTGCAGAAGCATCTCCTGTTTACCCTTTTCATTCATACAAATCTAATTTATGAGAGTCTTTTCTTGTTGTTGTTAGCTGCCTATAAATATGTGGCACACTAGCATTTACATTTTAATAAAAAGCTTGCAACTTTTAAGTAGGTTAAATACTGAAATGGACTGAAATAAATCGGAGGTGAATGTCTAATTGTATCATATCGTACCTAAAATCCTTATCTCTGGCTGCTTTATGGCTGGGTCAGTTGGCAGCTTCAAACTGCTAAATCTCATACAGAATTTCACAGTTGTGGGGTTATATGTCAGATCGAGGCGCTACAAGATTTAGGTCAAAAGCACTTATCTGAGCGTGATTTCTAAGCTTGCTTACATAAAGCTACTGTTATCAGTCTCCTTTTTTATTATTTATAAGTATAGCGTAATACAGGACATGAAGAGGAAGGTGCTTCACAGAAAACTTTTTAGGAATTTTGTATTTTCCTGTGTAGAAGTGCTTACCAAAATTGTATTTATTACTTGCAATTCTGAGATCTTTATTTCACACTATAAAGAAATCCACTGCTGTAGGTCCATACGACCTTAGACGTAACCTCTTGCAATTTTCTAAGACTTGCTCTTGGAAAATGTAAACACGTTCAGAATTGAAGTGAAATGCATTTTTTTTCTATTTAGCACCACCATAGGATAGAAATCAGATTACGCTAAAAAAAATGTGTGTGTGATGTTGTAAGGAACAAATATGTATTTTAGTAAGTAATTTTATATTTAATAAAGATTCCCATTAAAGCTATCTAGACACGTGTACATAAAATCACTTAATTTCATTGTTCAGGTAGGTCTGAAATTGGTCACACTAAAACCAAATAAATTTCAGTCACCGTTCATCTACCACCTTGACTTTAAATCATATAAAATGATATAAATGTAAGGCCCAATGTGATGGGTTTTTTATTTGCCTCCACCTGAAAAGGGGCATGATTTTGATTATGTTGTTTCATGGTAGTAGTTCTCTTTCATTATCCACTGCATCCAAATCAGCTCTGCAGCAGGGAAATGCAGGAGTAATAGTTGTTATCTTGATCCAAGAGATGGGTCTAAAATGATAGAGTAGTTTATTTTGCTTAGAAAACAAATCTATTCTATTTTACTCTGGTTATGTGTCCACTGCAGTCCTTATAATGGTGACCAGAGCAAAGACATATCTGAAGTGGCTTTTAATTAGCTAGCTCTGGAAACGCCGGTCATTTTACTGCAGTATTTTTGAGCACAAACTATGAAATGTAAGATGGACAACGTACTTGGACAGGGTGATGCCCAGCTTCCTTAATTTAAATCCAGTTTGGGAATGTTTTTTCTCCACTGTAATCACAGCTGTGATAGTGTTGTTCCTTGTTCCTTCTCTTCCCACTGTCTCCTTTTGGCTTGAGGAAAAAAAATATCCCAAAGACTGTTCATTCTAACATGTGTGCTAACTTATGACACCTGATGCAATCAAGAATAGCTTTTTG